TAAATTTTAAACTGAAATAAAATCGAAAGAGCTTTTTATTAAGTTCTTCTTAAGTTGAACATTACAATGCTTGTGAATGGAGCCCTCATCAATTAATACAGGGCCATGTGATGTCTAAAGTTTAATGCAGCAACTGCATGTCACGTTTCGAAAATCACGCAATGTTACGTGACGCTCCGACCGATATTTTTAATTTACAGTATGCTCTACTGGAGAAATGTGGCTTGGCCGGAATCGAGGGAGTTTTCTTCGTGGAACATTGACTAGCAAGAGTACCATATCACTCCATATATTAATTATGCATTTAGACTAGTAGACTTAATTTGTTTTTAAAGTTTTGTCGTGAAAGACAAAGAAGTGGAATGCATAATTAATGTATGGGGTTATACGGTACTCTTTCCACATTGACTTTCTGGGAAAGTTGTTCACATGAAAGACAAATCCATTCATCGGGCTCCTCGTCTATTTTGCACAACACCGAAAAAAGGAACTGAAAAAAGGAAATATTCACGTGCAAGGAGTTAAGATATAACTTATTAACTTTAACTATTTTTATCATCCAATTACAGGTCAGAGCCATTCTTGTATTTAGTCGCTCCAATTGGAGCGACTAAATACAGGAATGGCTCCAGTCTCTGATCGTTCGCCTGAACTGAGCCTAGACTGACCAAAAGAGTTTAGTCAGAGGAATTTGTCAGCGGATAACTTAGTCATCGCCGGATCACCGTTGAACGACCTCGCAGAACAAGAAAGGCCCTCCCCTCGTTATGTAAGTAACCATTTCTTGTTTGTCACATCGGTGTTTTCGCTCGCATTGTTATTTCACTGTTCCTCTTAGAGACACATGGTTAAACAACACTCACGTGCAAGGAGTTAAGATGTAACTTATTAACTTTTACTATTTTTATCATCCAATTACAGGTCGGAGCCATTCCTGTCTTTAGACGCTAGTAAAAAATCCTCGCGCCGCCATCTTTGTTTTAAATTTTCGTCTTTTATCTTGCGCTTCTTTCGCGCGTTTCTCTCGCGCGTGACGCAAGAGTTATCTGTTCCCCGCGCGAGAAAACTAGTACGAGCCACCTTAACTCGCAGTTGTTACTGTAGTACATAACCGTGACGTGGATGAATTGCGCGAGGGGACGAGCACCTCACCACGCGCGACACGCGCGTGATTGCTCCCTCTCGCCTGGAAAATTCGCTCGTTCTCCTAACCAATATTTTGACCGCAGAGGGTCCGAAATGAACTACAAACCGTCTGTAACCTGGTTTCAATTTTTGCTTCATTAACATAGAAATTAAATTTTTACCGTTTATTGAGAGACATCTTTATTGAGAGACATTTTCCGTTGTGATATCTTGACAGCTGTCAAAACAATTTGGATCTAAGTGCTCTTCGGAAAACGTTTAACTTGCGTAAATAACACTCTTTCAAGGGCTTCTTTTAATTTTGATGATTTTGGTATGAAACGCTACCCCCGCTTTTAATTCTTTTTTCTTTTTTTTTTTGGCACGAAAGGGTACTAGCCTTTAAAATAACAAAAAAGATATTAAAAATTAAGATCAACTATCCTAAAGAAAGTAGAAAAATAATACATTTGACTGTTGAGGTCTCTCGGGAAATCAACTCTGCCTTGAGGCATTCCATTTAACAAGTCAAAAGTATAACCAATGGTCCACTACTTTTACACCAAACAGTGCATAATTTTTAATAGAACAACCACTAAGTTTCTAATCGCTATCAACTGGCAAAATTTTGATGTGATATGTTACAATGGACCGAAGAGATCAGTTCTGATGTCTCCGCGAAGTATTCTGTTAGTAAAAAAAAAATGAAAATTGCTTTTCGTTGCGCGTTGAATTTGCTACACATACTTAACTAGAACACTTAAGTTATTTGATTCAACTTTCGAGCACACAACGTTGTACACTACAAGGTCGATGGATCCTGATGGCAGAACACCCTGATTTCACATTGCACCGATCAGAAAAGGCTTGGAACCTCAGGTTACCTTAATTCGACTCTATAAAAGAGCAGTTTTGTTCTTCGTTGAAAACGAACATCAATTTGTTTATTCATTTATCTGTTGGCCATTGACAGACGAAACGCCTGTTGACAAAACCCCTGGCACAATTATTAGGCTAAAGTGTTTCCATTTCAACCTCATTCTCCCTTGCCTTTAATGGTAAGCATTTATAACTTTTCATGATATTTCTTAGGCCTTGACGATATCTGTCGTTGAGTACAAAGTAAACGTATGGGTTTAGTGAAGCGTTTGAATAAAATAAAAATTTGACTACGAAGCTTAAGTGGTCCATGCCACAGGGAACCTCCATATTCCATGCGAAAAAAAACAAAAAACCTACAATATCTACGGGCAACATGCAAATGAAAAACAGAAGTATTATGGCCAAAATGTTCCAAATAATTTTGGCGTTCTCTTTTCGCCTGCTTTTCAAGAATGAAGAAGAAGAATTTCTCCAGTAAGGTTTCTCTCCCTTTAAATCTCTTAACATGATCGAGTACAAAACAATTATTACCATTAAAGGTATAGCGATCAAAAACATGGAAAGAATTCTAAAATTGACGCGCAACCCGCGCACGGTGTCAAATGCCGGCTCAAAGCTGAAAAAACAAATACTGATAGATTCACCTGACCCTCTGACCCGTTCGATTCGAGCAATGTAGAAATATATAGCGTGTAGACCCATCGATATTAACCAGATAAGTGCAATCGCGAATTTTAATCTTCGTGGAGTTATGAATGGTTTTCGAAACGGTGACACCACCCCGGTGTATCGATCAAGCGTAATAACAACAATGCTTTGGATCGACACAGCGGTTGAAATGTCTTGGAAAAAGTAAACAGCCTTGCAAAGAACTGCACCGAACAGACCGTGGAACAACCATCCTCGAAAGCCAATGAATAACTGTGCCAGTTCTCTGGACACCGCAAATGCAGAAAGGAATAAATCTGACACTGCCATGTTAGCGATCAAATAGTTCGTAGTGGTTCGCATGCGTCTGGTTTTGGCAACGATAGCGATGACTGCCCCATTTCCAAAAAACGAAAGCAACATTAGAAGTATGTAACATACAGCCTTGATGGCCTTCACGGATACTGAATCTTCTTTACTGAAAAGAAAGCATTTGGACGCTTCGGTTGAGTTCCAATATGTTGAATTTTCCGGTGAAGTCAGCATCGTCTTTCTTCCGCTCACGAATGAGAATGAGGATGATTTCGAAGATAACAGTGAAAAGCTATTGGACTTTTCTTTAGTAAAGAACCCAGATGAAAACTTCTGGTAAGGATAGGTTTACCGCATTTGGACCATAGTGCGGCCCCAATTTTCTAAATCAACCCCATAACTCGTAAACCCCCTCGTTAAGCCCAGGTGCTTTTTAGGAAAACAATGAAAAATACGATACAGAGAAGCTCGAGGCAATATTGCTCTTGGCGTCAAACTGGTGCACTATTAGAAACGTCTTCAAAGCCCTCTTCCTTATGGAGATATAGAAAGATTTTTCGTTACTTTCTGTTTGTGTTGATGATAACTGCCTGGTTGGGAACCATATCGAAGATTCCTATCTTTCACTCCAACATCGAAATCCAAGGTGGATGGCTGGCGGTTTTGTAGGCAGATGAGGAGAATAATGACGAGGCGGAGCATATCGAGTTAGCGGCCTCGCTACTTAAAATCTCCTCAAAGTCGCCAGCTACACGTACTGAGGATATCGAATATCTGAAATTCAAACCGTTTGATCATAGAAATATTATATGAGAAAAAAAACATCTTGCTGAATCGAAAAAGAAATAATTGAAGCCCAAGTTGATTTCTCTAATAAATTTTTCCTAAGAAATTCCTCAAATAACTTAGCTTCTGAAAAGCCCCAAGAAAAGGCGTAGGCGTTGGAGAGAGGAGAAATTTGAACAAATTTAAGCCAGGAAAATATTTTGCTTGCTACTGCGAACTAGCAAATATTCACTGATACATGCAGTTTGATATGCAAGCAACTTCATGCGGGGGCCATAAAATAGTCTTTTTTTTTTTTTCAATATAATTAATTTTATTTCACCTCTCTTGCCACTACAACTAATCAATCAATCCCGTTAATCGATAACTCAACCTTACCTTAATTTCCATATTGTAATCTTAAATTATTTGGGTGGGTGCAAAAACATTAGCATGTGTTTTTCCTTGATTCCAAATTTTGGTAATCGAGGACGATAACCCTCTTGACTTCGGCGTTCGCGCAAAAAAAAAACCATGTGGTCCCAACAAAAAATCTCTGCCCCTTAGGTGACAATTAATGTCTGGTCCGTAATTAGCAAATAAGCCGCTTGCTTTTTGGAGTCGAATACTGTTTAAGGGGTAGTCAGGTCCAGGATCGAGTGAAAAGTCGACTCTAAAGCTTGCGAGAGATATTACTTACTATAAACTTTTTCGTATCAGCCCACGAGATTCCAGAATTTCGTGCAGTTCCGTTTGAAAGCCTTTTTTCGGGGACATTTTAATTTGCTTTCCGATATAGAATGAAGAACATCAAGAGGAAATAAGGTCTCGTCATTTTCTCTTAATAAATATCAACCCAATTGGTATGGAGACAAAAACAAAAAGTTCGAAATACGTAAGAACAAAAACAGTAAAAGAAATACGCTAAAAAATGACTTTTTTTTCTTCGACAGACAATAGAATTTTATGCTCTCTTATCTAATGCTCCATGATTTCGAAAATACCGTATGTTACGTCAAGAAACATTGCATTTTAACTGCTTAAGGCAGAAAAAGGAAAAATATGAACCAGTATCGCGACAGTGTTAATAAACAAAAACTTAAGTTCAAATTTATTTGTGTATACTCAATAAAACGAGTATTTGGCGCAAAATTAGCTTGCAAGGTTTTATCCTTGAATGTGTAGTCTTACCCATGATTCTTAACTGGATTTGCATTTAAGTTAATTGGATTTGACCATTTTTCAATTACTTGACGAGTGAAAACTACTTAGTCTTAAATTTTTTTTTTTTTCTGAATTTAGACTTACTGGCGTCAAGTGCATTTTAAAAAACACTGTCTATATAGAATAACGAGGCCCGCATATGATTGGTAACAGTTAGCTGTGGATAGAAGAGTTTATTATCTCTTGATGGTTACAGATGTTATTATCGTGATATAGGTTAAAAGAGTGTAAGACAAGACTGTCCATTCAAGTTCTTGTTAAACCCTTTTATCCGCCCCCACTCCCTTAAAAAAACAATATTATCTTACGGTGTGATCCGCCTATCTACCCATTTTGATGAGCTTAATTTATCGCGAGCAGAAAAAAAAATAAAAAAAATAGCATTAACAAAAACTATTACATTCAAAGATGTCATGCCTGGTGTCGATTAGCTACAGCTACTAATACGTAGTCATTTCAACGCTTTTTATCTGTCTTTCGTGAACCAACCCTTTGTGGCCTTTGAAGAGGTTTCGCAGACCCTGGCGATATCTGTTATTTAGGATGAAATAAAAGCAGGGATTGAGGGAAGCGTTGGAGTAAAAAATAAACTTGACTGCGAAGCTTAAATTGTCCATACCGCACGGAATTCCTTCATGCCATGCAAAAAGAAATAATAAACCCACAATATCCATGGGTAAAATGCAGATCAGAAATAAAGAAATAATTACCAGAATTTTCTTGATAACTTCAGTATTTTCCTTTTGTCGGCTCTTGAGCAGAGAAGAGGAACATTTTCGCCAAAATGATTTCTGCTTTTCTAAAGCCTTAAATATAAGTGAATATAGAACGATGAGGATACGTAGAGGAATAACGATCAAAAAAAGTGTCAAAATTATAAAGTTTATTCTTAGTCCCTGTAAATTGTCAAATCCTGGATCAAAGTTGACAAAACATACATTTGCACCATTCGCTCTCTCCACGCGATAAATATAAAGATAAATGGCGTGTAGACTCATCGCTATCAACCAAGTGGAAACCATCACCATCTTGCGTCGTCGTGGGGTTATAAATGGTTTTCGAAACGGTGCCACCACCCCGGTGTATCTATCTAGCGTAATAAAAACAATGCTCTGTATCGATACAGCTGTTGAAATGTCTTGGAAAAAGTAAACAAGTTTACAGAGGATTGCCCCGAACAAACCGTGGAACAACCATCCTCGAAAACCAATGAATATCTCTGCCAGTTCTCTGGGCACCGCAAATGTAGAAAGGAGTAAATCTGACGCTGCCATGTTAGCGATCAAATAGTTCGTAGTGGTTTGCATGAGCCTGGTTTTAGCAACAATGGCGATGACTGCAGCGTTGCCAAAAATAGAAAACAACAGCAGAACTGTGAAGCACGCGGCTTTTGTGGCCTTCACAGAGACTGAATCTTCTTTTCTAAAAGGAATACACTTAGAGGCTTCGGTTGCGTTTGCAAAAGTTGAATTTTCTAGAAAGGAACTGTTCATCTTGTATCACCTCGTCAAAGCAAGTTTTGAGTATTTCATTTGCAGTGAATGATGCTTGTTAATTTTATGATCTCTGTTTTGTATTTATCTCTTGCCAGGTGGTAGTGCCTCAATGGCATAGCTTGGGGGAGGGGTCGGGGCAATTTATCTATAAAGCAAATTTAGTTATTATATTGCAATCTTTAGCTCCTTCGCTATTCAAGTGGGGAGGGATCGAGACCTAATTTTCATAATGCAGTCTTTCACTCATACGCTCTCAAATGGCCATATTGATGTTGTTAAATTGTTTTGGCTTTCGGATCTTTAGCCTCGGGTTTGTCCGCAATTTAGCGTGAGTTATATTAATTTATGTCAATCAAGGTGTTTTTTTTTTTATGACCAGTTGTCATATTTATCTTTTTCAAGAATATGTTCTATTTTCACTACAATTTTATGAAAAATTTAATTCAAACACCAATTAAAATATCCAAGTTCCAAGATATTTTTTTAAGTCAAAATTTATGATTTAAGTAACCAGTAATTCAAACTATCATGTACACGTACACAAGAACAAACTTGTCACTTAATGGTCGCCCGATCTTGTTAAAAAAAATCTCCAAAATGTAATGCTATAAGAAAAAAACACTCACCTTAAATTAGTCTATTTCTCATCCTGAAAATTTATTTTATTCCTGTTCAAAGAGACGCATTGAATATAAACCAAAAATTAGCGATCAGGTTTGAGAATCAAAGTCGCAATTCTTGTTTTTCACGAATTTTTATTCCATTCAGTATCTGTTTATTTCTTGGAACAACATGCTTCATTTCGAAACCTTTTGAACTTTGTGAATAACCAAATACGTCAGCCCTTTACTTAGGTGAGCTCAAATGTAACTTTAAGCGTACTTAAGAACCCTGTCAAAGAGAGCAGATAACTCAAACTGGTTGGGTGTAATAAGGAAAAGACAGGTGTGTCGACATATAGAATATTGCATAAAAAACTTCAGCTCAGATTTCTTACTAACTATGCATCGAGGCCATGCCGGTTACCATTTCCTTCTTTGCAAGCTGAAATGTTAGATAAATCAAACATTCCTTTAATTTGGTTTCATTTTAAGGCTGAATTTTATTTCTTTCGGGAAATCTTTCATGAAAGAGTTATTGAAATTCTATTTCGTGATAATCTGTAAAATACTTTTAAGTTTATGGGCTAAGGACATAATCAATCTATTTTCCTTGGCATTTTTCTTTTCTGAATCACGATTTATTTACTTCTTGTGTCGATGAAAAGAGAGAAATGACGAATGACCTTGACGTCCTCTTACATTTGCTTCTATAAAACAACCCTACAAATCAAAGACTGCATGCAAGGATCGAAATTTTCCACAATTGAAAATAGAAATAGACAGGTTTCGTAAAACGGTTTTCGCTTCATAACTTTATCCATGGAGGCCAGGTGAAGATTTAAAAAAATACTTCGGGCAAGTTTGGCTGTGCTGATGGAAAAATAAGATATTTTTTCCGTGAAGAGTTTCTTCAGTTAAACACCGCGATGTGCCAGGGCCGAACCAGGGCCGGGGAAATCTGCTGTAGGAAATCCGAGAAAAATTCCCCTATAGGAGAAAAATATTCCAGTTAACAGGCCGAAGCGAACGAGAGATAAAAGGAGGAAAGAGGACGGAATCAATAAAAGAGAGAGAAAATAAAATAAAAAATGAAATGTAGAAATAGTTGCATGGATGAATATTGCAAAAAAGGAAATATGCTTGGGTGTCTAGTAGTATTTCCAGGAGGGACTGGGGAAAAAAGTCCCACAGTCATTACTAGTCAGCTGCCTAGTGCATTTGAGTGGAAAGCGCGCGAACTGCCAACATGGAAGGTGAGTAATTCTTTTATCATTTCTGGGGGAAAACACTACATTTGTTGCTAATATCGTTTGTGGTACAGCGTAGTGATATTTTGTTTGTTTTTTTTTTAGCGTCTATGGCAGACCAGGCTCTTACTCGCTACAAATGCGACTCCAACACAGCTGTACGTTTCAAGCTCGGTAAGCCTTTGATCGACTTTTTCGTGTACAAATTTAAGTGCACTACGTTAACCTCTATTCTGCCAATGGAGCTCTCCAATGAAATCTTTATTTACGTGCCTCAGTGGTATAGAGTTATAAATATCCTTACAGCGTTGTGCTTGTGAGAATAGAAAACTAAAGCTCTGTTGCAGATGTCCATGTTTTAATCAAGAAAGGCAGGAAACTCGTTGAGTACAAAATAAAAAAAAAAAAAACCTGGGTGTACGTACTTCAGGAATGAAACTGAAATCAACGCTCCTTTTCTGCAATTTGTCTCTCAGTTTTAAGTACAGGATAATCTGCTCCATCTCAGGGAAGAAAACGGTAGACACGCTCGTAAGAGTTACTAATCTTCTTCAACCTATTTTACCCTCTCTCTGCAGTTCAATGTGAGAATGATGTATTTGACAAGGGTAAAGAATTCCATCCAACGTTTTCGCACCAGTACTTCGGTGACAAGTGAGTCTTGTACACTCTTTCCCTTCTCCAACAGATAAATATTTACCGTATTTGTAATTCAAGGTGTAGAGTGCGTTTTGGTTGTTGTTGTTGAAGTTGAAGTT